AAAAGGATTAGTGTGCGAATAAACTTTTTCTATATTTTCTTTTTCGGTATGTTTCGCAACCATTCTAGTAGTTTCATACCATTCTTCTTCCACCATTTCTTTATCGTAATGATATAAATAATACCAACCCTTTAAAGATAAAGATGGAGCCGTTAGATTATTGGACATATTCTGGTTTACAACTTCTTTCGTCACTTGGTTGTATTTTATCAAACAAGCTCCCAAACAGAGAGTGTCTCTCTTGGCGTAAGGTTCCCATTCGTGTCTCAATTCCTCCCAGTTGTCTTGCGTGTATTTAGCGATATCTACGTCGGCAATCTTTCTCAAATTCGCGGGAAGATTGGAAGAATTTCCCCATGCAGCCAAAATAGAGGATTCGTGTTGATAGGAACACGTGAAATTAATATGTTGTAAATAATTACCCTTTATTTCTTTCTGTCTTTTCCATTTTTTCTGTAAATCTTCATCCGTGTATGGATTAGATAAAGGAAAAGATAGAATTCCTCTGGGTGTTTTTAAAGGGCAATGCGTTAGTTTTTTTGCATTTTTAAGCACGATCCAGTTGTCGAATCCACTGCCGTTATGAGAAATTAATATTAATCTCTTTCTATCATATTGACCTAAATATTTCAACATTTGATCGATGCAATCTGTACCTAAAAATATTTCTACTACATTCATTAGTTTATCATAAAATTCTTCTGGAATGGGATCTGTAGGCTTTAAATCTGGAAATAGATTATTTATTCTGTTTAACATTTTCCTTAGTTTTTCTAGATTAATTAAAGTGCAACAATATGGAATTGCTCTTCGCGTGTCTTTTTCTGAATACGTTTCGCAATCCCAAGCGAATAACGCATCATCGCTCATACTCGAAAGCACGTTTAGTTTGAGGGGTGAAACCTGTGTTACTGCGTTGTCGTCTCTACACGTTTTCCACACCTGTTCGTAATTGTCTTCTATTTCTTGAATTCCCAAACTTTTTTGGCTTCTTCTAATCAAACAGAAATGCGAGTTGTGTAAGTACAAAACCCAATCTAATTCATCGTGAACGTCTCTGGGGTGAAAATGTCTGTTTTTGGGATTATAAATTTGAAACGAAGTGTTGAATTTCTTGTTGAATTCATTCATTCTAGCACAAGTCATCACTCCTTTTCTATTTGCTTTTGAAAACCCGTTGATGTATTCTTGAAATTTACACGTTAAATCTTTGTTCAAAACACGATTGACGCATTTGATAAAACAGTGCCCATTTGTAGGTATGTAACAATTTTCGCCTTCGTATTCATTGATCTTTTTAAGCAGATCAGTTCCTCCTCTGCCAACTCTCGATCTTTTTATTTCTTGGAAATTGTCTTTCATTAAAATTATTTTTCCTGTAAAATACCAATCGGAAGCATCGGATTTTTTGTCCATATTTGAAAAGATATTGTGAAAGGTTTTGCCATTGAAACCGAGGAGTGACATGTATTGTCTGTGATTCCCTTCCTCGACTATCTCTCCATCTATTTTAATTTGTCCTTTGAATGTTTTAAATTTATCAGAGATTGCCTTGATAACATCGGAAAATAGGGCGTTTTCTATCAATGTTTCATCAAGTTCGAATTTATTCATATTTTTTTAAGTGTATATTTTTGATTATTTCTTTATTTTGACCGCTGATATTTCTGTATGGAATTTGTCCAAAATTTCATTGAATTCTTGTAATTCTTCAACTGTTATGTTCTTGTCTTCTCTCGATCTTTCGAAAAAGATGTACAATTGATTAAGATACATATTCAAGATATCCGTTTTCTTTTTATAATGAGCTTTCTTTTTGCTCGTGAAGCCTATAGCAACAAGATGAAGTTTGAATAGCAGTAATTGTGGCTAATACAGTTGGGACAAGTACAGGAACCATTAATCCACCAGTCACGGCCGTTGCAAGTGTTGTTCCTATCGTTAGAACTACACTCGCTGTTTTGAAAACAGAATCGATTCTACTCCATTGTACTGTCTCAACTTTATTTTCAACTCTTCTTGTTTGTCTATCATGTATTGTTGTCTGCTTTCGAGTTCCATTTTTTAAGTCGTTAAATTAAGTGAATTTCCGATAAATGGAACCACGGAATATCAAATAGAGCGAAGTCGTTTGGCCTAGTATTATTAAATATTCAGGTATTAAAAGTAAAAACATTTACGCGTACTAACGACATTTCTTTTTTCGTATGGTCCTCTTTAAGATGATAGGAATATTTTATTTTTTCTTTTTCGATGTTTATCTTGGCTCTAAAAATATAACCACCAGCATGAAGGATGGAGTCGGAACCTTCGACAAACGTTAAATGTACTATAAACTCTCGTTCTTGTTGACTTTTATGAACATCGATAGAGGTGTATTTTTCACCTAAAACAAAATACAGTTTTACGTATTCAAAGTCTGTTGTTCGTAAAAACTCGTGACTGCTCGATTCTATTTTTCCGTGTTCGTGTAAGCGTGATAGAATTTTGTCAATGTTGGTTGATGGTGGATTTTCCGTCTCCAATATCATATCCAAATCTTTAATTCCAATGATATCCTTATCATTTTCTACTTCCATTTTAAAGGTGTCTACATATTTACCATTTTTCGTTTCAATTTCCTGATCCCTTTTATCAATCAAACGTATATTCTCTTCCAAATTACCATCATTGAAGAATGAAATATGTTTGACGCCCTTACCGGTTTGTTTGAAGACTACTTTATTGACTTTAACCTTCATGGGAAACTCTATTTGAATCAGACAATTACCTCGAAAAGAAAACTCTTGCGTTTCGCCGATATCGAATACGTTTTAAGGTTCACCGTATTCGAGAGAACCCACTTTTATTTCTGCTTTGAATCCGTATTTGTTTGATTTATAAATTTGGTCTTTTCTATCGAAGACAGTGTCACTTTCGAACGGAAGATTGAAATAATACGATTTGTCCGTGACAATAGCTTCTAATTTGCTCAACTTTCTCTCTTGTCTCAAAAAATCGTCATGAATTCTAGATACCAAAAGATTGACCTGTTCTTTAATATAATTTTTCATATCATCTCGAAATTTATTTTGAAGAAAGTTTTTAATCACACCCACTTCTTTTTCTAATTCGTCCGTGATTTTAGTATCCAAAGCAGTCAATTGTTGTTTCAACATATCTTTGTCAATGGGAAGTGTGTTAATTATATCTTGAACATCTGATTTTTGCTTCGCGATCTTTTCGTTCAAATTGGATATCGAATTTTGTAACTCGGTTTTGTCCGCCGTCTTGTCTAGTTCTGCTAGCAATTCACCAAGTTTTCTTTCCAAAGCGGTTAGTTTTCGTTTCAATCTATCCTCGTTTACATTTGGGTTGTCTATTAAACGTTGGACGTCTATTTTTACCTTCGTAATCTTATCGTCTAATTTAGATATCAACTGACTTGTTTTATCCACTTGAATAAGACGTTTCAAACTCGTTAACTTTTGTTGTAGTTTGGGTTCGTCCACAAGATTTTTAATATTTCGTCCGATGAATCTTTTCACGTCATTTATTCTATTTTCAACATGGTCCTTATCTATTTGAATTGCGTTTATTTGATCCAGTAAATATTTCTTGTTCACGGCATCGTTATCGTTTCCTGGAAACTTTAAATTAGTTATTTTGAAATTGTTCATATCGATATCCCCTTGTAAGGTGTCTCCGATTTGATCCACGAAAAAAGGTTTCGCTTTGTTTATAAACGCCGTAGAACTCATGGGATTTTTAGATTCTAGAGGTAAAGACCCTAATCCAAACTTGTTTGCCATTTTTATTGAGTTAAATTTATTATAATTTCTTCAAACTTTTCTCCCAAACTCAACCGATATAAAACCCAAAGCGACAGCTGACCACACAGCTTTTGTCCTGGCATTTGAATTTGAAACGTAGAACATTAGATTGGTTTGCTAGTCAATTTCGTTATCTCTTCTGTCGGTTCTAGACCGAAAGAATCAATGAAATAAAAGTTATTCGAAGAATCTTTGTGTAGAGCAGAGTGATGAACTCCTTTTTGATCCGACGTGTGAATGTTTGTGATGGCGTAAAATTTACCTTTCTTGTATTTCAGTTCATCAATTTCATCTCGCATGCAATAATAAAACGGCGAGACGTTCAACTCCTTGGCCCATTTCACAAGTTGAAAATTTGTGGTCGTGTCTTTTCCGTATTTATCGAGAAATGCATTCATTTTTAAGTCGATTTTTTTTTAGGTGTTTTTCGAAGTAGGCGGAAAGTATTGCTGAAGACCCAATTGACGAAATATATACGTAGTTTGTGTTTGAAAAAACTTGTATAACATTCTGATAAAACACATTCAATAATATTTTGAAGATAAATTTACATTTAAATTTAAAAAATCTTAATTTAAGAGAGCGTAAATGCTTGTCGACATCTAAATTTCTTAACCTTTCATCTAAATCGTCATTTTCGAGATTCATTTTTAAAAGTCAGTTTTTTGAAGTTCATTTTGATAAAACCTTCCTATGATTTGTTCTTTGTCTTGATCGATCAATTCATACGTGGGAGGTGATGTGCTATTTATTTTATCAACGATGAATATCTCATTAGTCCAATAGCCGACGTAACCTTTCTGAAACAATGATTTATATTTAAAAATACGAACTCGATCTCCAACTTTGAATTTGGGTTTAATATTCAAATTGCTAATCTCGTTTTCAAAGTTGTTTCGAGTGTTGACGGACTTTATGATATTCAGGTTATTAGAGGATTGGGATGGCGTCACACCTATAGACGAATGTATTTTGTTATTGTATTCGTCGACAACAACCGGTAATATTTTAAGCCATTTTTGAGATTTCAATTCCGTGAATTTCTTGAATAATTTGTTTTTAAGAGTCCTGTNTGAATCTTTTA